CTCAGTCCCTGGAAAAATCATGGAGCAGATCCTCAAGGAATTGATTTCTAAGCACTTATTAGAGCAGAAGAAGGCAATTAGGGACAGTCAGCATGGTTTCACTAAGGGTAAGGCATGCCTGACCAACCTGATTGCCTTCTATGATGAGATGACTGGCTCTGTGGATGTGGGAAGACCAGTGGATGTGGTGTACCTTGATTTTAGCAAGCCTTATGTTATGGTCTCCCACAACATTCTTGCAGGCAAGCTACGGCAATACAGGTTTACAGCAGACAATAGGCTGAATATGAACCAACAGTGTGCCCTTGTTGCAAAGGAGGCTAACAGCATGCTGGGCTACATTAGTATGACTGTTGCCAGTGGATCAAGGACCGTGATTATTCCCTTCCATTCAGCACTGGTGAGGCCAAATCTGGAGTACTGTGTCCAGTTTTGGGGTCCCCCAATACAGAAAGGAGGTGGACAAGTTGGAGAGTCCAGCAAAGGTCAATGAAAATGGTAAGGGGGCTGGGGCACATCACTTATGAGGAGAGGCTGAGGGAACTGGGCTTATTTAGCCTGGAGAAGAGAAGAATGAGAGGAGATTAAATAACAGCCTTCAACTGCCTGAAGGGTAGTTACAAAGAGGATGGAGCTAAATTGTTCTAATTGGTGATAAAAAAAAAAGAGCAATGGTTGCAAGTTGCAGCATAGGAAGTTTAGGTTAGCTATTAGGCAAAACTTTCTCGCTAGGGGAATAGTAAAGCACTGGAACAGGCTACCCAGATAAAGTTGTGGACTCTCCATCCTTGGAGGCTTTTAAGACCCAAGGAGACAAAGCCTTGACTGGGATGATATATTTGATCCTGCTTTGAGCAAGTGATTATAATAAATTAATTCCTGAGGTCTCTAACCTAATTTTCTATGATTCTATGGCTGCCTCTACACACGTGCCAGATTGCACAGTTGTTTACTGAGCAGTCATTTAGTACTTGGATAAGCCTAAGCAAGTACTAAATGACTACACAGAAACCAGTGTTACTGTGCAGTACCATCACCACACAGGTTTTTTCTTGATGCTGCTGTGCAGTAGCTCATTGCTACTGTGACATAGCATCTCATGTAGACATACCCTATGATTCTATATTTAGTGCAAAATAATCTACTTCTGTACTATTCTGTTTCATTGGCCATGTCCACACAAACAGAGGCATGTGTTTGCAGCAGCACAAATAGCAGTGACACAAATTTGTGCCACTACTTTGTGCCACAGTGCACACCCATGCCTGTGTGTTTTGCAGCAGGACAGTGTCCTGCTGCTCCATGTGCTGAAATGGGGGATGGCTTGGGTACAGGGTGCCTCAATGTAAGGCTAGCCAGCAGGAATCCCTTGTGCTGAAGCACCCTGTACACTAGTCAGTCAGCCAAAGGGTGACACATGGAGATGGGAGAGCAGGCAGTCTAGGGTTCCCTCTTCCCCCATCTTCGCACACTGCAGAACCCCCACTCTGAGGCATCCTGTGCTCCAGGCAGCTGCTTCCCAGCTGGCTGGGGCACAGTGTGCCTTGAGATGCTGGAGCAGGCAGCACTGGGGTACCTGTTCCCCTGTCTCAAGGCACACCATGCCCCAGCAAGATGCTCTGCAGTTGAGGCAACTAAACTCTGCAGCTGGGGCAACTAAAAACTCTGAGTTTGGCAATGGATAAGATGAGGGGAGGTGATCAATGTCTCCTGCGGTTCCAGAGCTGCACTGTGCTGTTTCCCCTAGCGCCCGCTGGCATAACAAGGAGCAATGGGCACAAGTTGATGGAGAGGAGGTATAGATTGGACATATAGGAGACGCTGTTTCCCCTAGCGCCCGCTGGCATAACAAGGAGTAATGGGCACAAGCTGATGGAGAGGAGGTATAGATTGGACATCCGCAAAAACTACTTCACAGTTAGGGCGGCTAGGAGCTGGAACCAACTTCCAAGGGAAGTGGTGCTGGCCCCTACCCTGGGGGTCTTTAAGAAGAGGCTGGATGCCTACCTGGCTGGACTCATTTGAGTCCCGTTTTTGTTTTGGGGTTTTGTTGTTCTCCCGCCCTGGCGGGGGGTTGGGCTAGAAGATCTACTAGGTCCCTTCCGACCCTAAATCTATGAAACTATGAAACTATGAAACTTAGTGCCCCAGCCAGCCCTCTCTGCAGCATGTGGAGCCCAGCTGGAGCAGCCCTGGGCTGGCAGGGGACCCAAGAGTTCAGCCTGCCAGGCTAGGGCTGCTCCAACTGGGTTCTATGTGCTCTATTCTATGGCTGCCTCTACACATGTGCCAGATTGCACAGTTGTTGCAATATGCTCCAGTGCTTTTTGTTCCTGGACACATGCTGAAATGGCATTCTTGGGAGCAAAAACTCTAGAGAAATAAGCACCAGAATTTATTCATGCACATGAATTGAATGTGTAGACACAGCCACACATTTGCAAACATACACACACAGTGAAGCAGTCACTGAAGAAAGGCACTAGTCAAAACCTTGGTGTACAAGGGCACTAGAGCATGCCTGCTCCTTTAAGAAAGCAAGCAGCCAAGGAGACTGCTTGCAAGTATTAAAGAGGGCAAATGAGAGACTCACCTGACTGAAAGAGGGCTCAGGTTTGAGTTATATGGGCATTTTTACACATACATTTGTCTGCTCCAACATGTCAGAAATTCATCACGTTGGAGCAGACTTGATTAATCAAGCCTGCTCCACATGCAAGCTGATGAGCCCGGTGCTGTATTGCATACATTTGTATAAATGGCAAAATGCTCATCAACACTGAAAAAAAGGTGGCGGTGCACTTTTGACTTAAAATACTTTCAATGTGTTTAGTTCAAGAGTGTACTGCCACCATTTTCTCAGTGCTGACGCACATTTTGCCATTTATACAAATTCATGTGCTGCAGCACCAGGAGTTTTTAAAAATGCACAGCCCTGTGACACAAGCATGTGTACAAATGCCCTTTAAGCCTAGAGTCTGCACCAGTCAGGGGTCTTGCTCTGGCAGCTATAAAGGAAGGAGTTCCTGACAACAGAGCATCAGGACTCCTGAACTGACAGTGGAGCTGAATGAGAAACTCTGCAGAATGGGAGACAAGGGAAAGTACCTGAGGCAGAAAGGGGCTCCTATCTATTAGGCAGATGACCTTGGTTTTAGGTTAATCCCAGAGAAGGTTTGGGTGTCTTCTAGAGGATGTAGATGCTTTGATTTGGTTTAGGGCCCTTGAGCCCTAAACTAGGGTTTAGCCTTGAAACCTGCTGCAGCAGGCTCAAGGCCCATTTTAGAGACCAGGAACAGAAGGTCCATAGGCCAAGAGGGGACTGAACCAGATTAGGGGGTCCCCAAGCCTAGAGAGGGGGCTGAGAGATGGACAGAGGGGTCCATGGGCCCAGAGAGGGTCTGCTTGTGGGACCAGAAATCTGAGAGTTCAGGGAGAAGCTAAGTAAGAGACCAGGAGGCCTGAAAGTCCAGGCAGGGGCTGAGAGTGTGAAATGAGAACATCAAGGATTTCTGACACCCATGAGGCTTAGGGCATGGTTTTGAGGATGAATAGAGCCATACAGCTACAGGTGCCCTACAGGGTATACACAGGGCAGGAGGGACTATTTGGACTCATGGGCTGAGTTGGGACCAATAGGAAGGAAGGACCTGGTGTGGAATTTGACAAGATTGGGGATCACTCTAAGGCCCATGGGAAGCCTTAACCAAATATCAATAAAAATAAGGTATGATGGGTAAGTATTTGAGGGAAGGTGACATTAGAGTGAGAGTTGGGCAGGAGCCTCATGGCAACCAGGGGAATCATGGCCACCCCTGTGGCCATAAGCCTGCTATACACAGTCACTACAAATATCCCAGATATTCAAATATTTGCCCCACAACTTGCACCAAAACTGTTTATCACAGAGCCTTCACCACAGCTCCTTTTACAGGTTCCCAAGCTTCTCCTCTGTACATCCCGGTTCATCATTATGGAAGACTGGCAGCTTTGCTATGGTTAAAGCAGAGAACCCGATTCTGTTTAAGGAATGACTCAATGTGTTATAAAATCTATATGCTTACTCAGACCATATTCAAATTTAGTGTTCCAGGGAACAGAAAGAAGAAAGGGTAAGAACAAGAGTTCCAAATATGGGATCATTTGAGCAATAGGCTCTCAGGATATAGCTCCCTGAAAGAAATGCCTTTTATTAGGTTAACAGATTCTATCAATGTTTATTTGCACAGACTGGGTAAAGACTCATGACTCCAAGGCACACCCTATCATTTGTTTTAAAGAAGTGTGAGTTCTGCTGGACTCACCCTCAACAACGGCACAAGATACCCCTAGACAATTTTCATTCTGCATTAAGGAAGCTGTTTTGTCACTGAATGGATGCAAGGCCATATTTTCAATAGGGGTCCGCTCCCAAGTTGGCCCCTTCTGCTCGTACATTGCTTCCTGTACTGTTTGCCTATTTTGTCTAGTTAGATTGCAAAGTTTTGGGGGGCAGAGCTCATCACTCATAGATTCATAGATTGTTAGGGGCTGGAAAGGACCTTGCAGATAATCAGGTCCAGCCTCCCCGCATTAGGCAGGAAGACAACTGGGGTCAAGTGACCCCAGCGAGGAGACTGTCCAGTCTCCTCTTGAAAACCTCCAGGGTAGGTGATGGCATCACCTCTGGAGGGAGTTTATTCCACAGTCTGGACACCCTGACTGTGAAGGAGGTTTTCCTGGTATTAAGCCTGAAGCAGCCTTCCAGGAGTTTATATCTATTGGTCCTGATCTTCCCCAGGGGTGGCCTACTGAACAGTTGTTCACAGAGATCCTGATGCACTCCTCTGATATAGCAGTAAGCCGCTATCAAGTCCCCTCTCAACCTCTCTTCTTTAGGCTAAAGAGGCCCAGGTCCCTCAGCCTTTCCTCATATGGCTGCCTTGCACGTCCCTGATGAGTGGCTCTTTGCTGGACCCCCTCAAGTTTTTCTACATCTTTACTGAAGTGCAGTGCCCAGAACTGAACACAGTACTCCAACTGTGGTCTCACCAGTGCTGAGTACAGTGGGAGTATCACTTGCTTACTTTTATATGAGATGCATCAGTTGATGCATGCCAGCATGTTATTTGCCCTGCTGGCCACCACATCGCACTGATGGCTCATGTTCATGCAATGGTCAATCATTACCCCTAGGTTCCTTTTGGCCATGGTGCAAGTCAGGCTGTGACCTCTAAGCCTGTATGTATGTTGAGGGTTATTTGCCCCCAGATGGAGCACCTTACACTTGGAAGTGTTAAACTTCATCTGGTTCTGATCTGCCCAACTCTCTAGCCTGTCCAGGTCCACCTGTATCTGCAACCTATCTTCTGGTGTGGCCACACTGCCACATAACTTGGTATCATCCGCAAATTTGGCCAGCGAGCTTTTCACTCCTCCATTCAAATCATTGATAAAGATGTTGAAAAG